AGGTGCTAGTTTCAAATCCTTTTTAGTCTGAAATCTGTATGCTAGATATTGAGTAAGGTGGTTTTATTGTTTTTTGTCACTTTGAATAATATTTCTGTTCATGTTAAAAACAAAATCAACTCTCTGTATAAATATATCAGGTGACCGTTAAGGCCCATGGGCCTCTTGTTATCTTTAATAATTTCGTTTGTTTGAAGTTGTTTCGTTTAAAAAGTACTTCTCGACCATTATTTACTTTTTCTTTCTGTGTCGTTTTGCTATCACGTATGTGTTATAAGAAATATTGTCTGTCATACGTGTCCAGACTGGTATCTATATCAATGATAACCGGGAGGCAGTGCTTTCCTCTTGTCATGTACGCATCAGAAATCAGAAGAAATGTGTATTCATTATAATTTATCCGTTTACCAAACTTCCTCAAATTAATGCCACAGAACAACAGACACCAACGGCGTCTACCACATTATATATTTCAAGACGATACTCAATCCTTAATACATTTTTAACACACAATTATCAATACAAATATGCCCATTTATAAGGTATTTTAAAAGTTATAAATAGATAGAATGTGATGGAACTATCTTATATGACTGATCATTGCTATGCAACTTTCACTCATGTAAACTTTACTTTTTTTGACATTGAAATGAAACATATTTATAAATAGGGCGTCATTGGACGCAAGTTTCGGTGCCTGAAAACAACTTTCATTAGTTACGTTGAAAAAAATGTTTCGACTCTTTGAAACAAACAAAAAATGCGACCAAAACATAACACATCAGAAATCATAACTATGAACAGAATGACTGAAGTTCCATTTATGTACATGTAGGAGTGAATATCTCTCAAAGTGGGCCAAATTTATAAATGTAGGAATACAATACTGTGGTAGAATTTTAGTCTCCTGTAATCAACATATTTTCTATAGTTTACCATTGTGACGAAACATCATTTCAAAGTTACGAAACGACTTTGGGATGTACTTAATCATCTCATTCAACGACCAAAACTTCTTGGTCCCAGTCCTCGGGCACAGGGACCTGATACTTTGTACAGCTATATTTGGACCAAAACTAAGATGTTTCGAGTCATTTTACACGGGGGGGNATTACAATCCATTATATGATCATAGGGGTGGCATTTTTACTGAAAATCGATCTAAACCCCCCAAACATGTAAAATTACTCTAGATCTGAACACTTTAGTTTAGGTCCAAATATAGCTGTAACAAATTATCAGGTCCCTGTGTCCTGGGGGTGTTGACTTGCCTACGAATCGTCAGTACTTCGTGTGAAAAATTACTCATGACACTACTCACATTGATTATGTATGATACTTGAATGTCTTAAAATATTACATAAATACTCAAGTATTATTTATTCCTGGATTCGCTTCTACATTGTACGTTGTAAGTACCCAGGAATTCGTTATAAATTCGTCTTAATATCTAACAAAACGCAAAGTTGGGGTTTCCTTTCTGAGATTCATCAATCTACACTGAAGAACCTTCGTGTTCTGACGAATTGACGTGTTATGCAAGATGTGGTTCGGAATTACAACATGAGCTCTAAATATGGAAATGGTATTCAGCTAGATACAACTGTATGGATTTTAGAAGGTGTTCTGTTGAATGAGGACATGGAAGTACATAATCTGAATTTAAACATGAGAATTGTTTAATGATTACAGCTTATGCTGGTTCTTGCACCGTCGAATGTAGAAAATTCTGTTATAATGTGGTAAAAGCATTCTCAAAACAAGATCTAGTACAACCAATTTCACGGAATACGGTGAAAGTAGATATCCACTTAACATGAAAGATTAATTATGTTTCGGTATAATTTGTATCTTGTTATAAGTTTTGAAATAAAATGTACAATTTAAATGAAACTGGAAACAGAAGTTTAAAATGAATTGATTATGGCGAAATTATATAAGCTGATATTGCATTAAACTTCATTATATTTATGTAATTAACAACAAACGTGTACAATTAGTGAAGATAAATTAAAATATGTGGTTAAACAAAGATTGCAGTACCACTTTATTCAAAAATGATTCAACGATATAGATTCGTCAAAATTTTTACATATTCAATAATTTAAAAAAAAAAGCATTTTCAAATGGAAGACAATGTCCATTTAACTTACAACTGTTCATAGAAAATGCACGATGGGGTGGTGCACCTCATCAGAATCGAGTTTGCTCCGTGTGTTAAGAAGAGATTGCTTATGAATACAAGTTTTTGGTAAATTGTTAACGCGAAGTAATATGTTGAATGAAAACTTTGCCTATTCTATACCATTATGGTAGGTATCCAAATATGACAAATGTGTTGTTTTTTCTCTAATGTTTATGTTCTTCATATGTAAATGGTTGTTAAACATTTTGAATACTCAAGTACTATGTATTTGTTTTTTCAGTATTTGTATTCCGCCATTATTTTTAAACACAGTATTTGATAACACATGTGCATATAGTTATTCATTGGATATTCAATGGGATTAACATACTGTGTCCTTTTTTTCCAATAATCCGACCAGATACTGAGATATGTCCAAATCAATGTCCAGCTTCCTGGCGACTCTAGAAACCTCACAGACAGATTTGCGAATCTCCTCTCGTTGGTTTGGGGTAATTAGACTGACCACACTGGACGTCGTCTTGTTGGTTGGAGGGCGGTGGAATTGTCCCTCTCTATTAACAATGGTACACCACACGTCCTTCGGTTTTACTCGAATCCCGAGGAATCTACCAATTCTCAACAGTTCTGATGAACAATTACGCTTCAAAGATTCATATAAAACAATCGTACAGTTTTGTTTGAAGTTCTGCAACCAAAATATGTTTTTTGTCCTCCAACGCCGCAGCCTATCATCCACATATGATCTCCATTCTAAGAAGGAAGAGAAACATTAAGTATGAGTTAAAGGATGAGTTAAGCATATTTCGCCATCACATGTTATTTTTTTTGCGAAATTCAAATAAGAAATCCCAATCCTTTGAATAACAGTTTTGAAGTTTAGCACTCGACAAAGCCTTGCGTAAAACTAAAAACATCTTTCCCTCGGGTTGAGGTTAACATCTCACCCTCGGGTTGAGGTTAACATCTTACCCTCGGGTTGAGGTTAACATCTTACCCTCGGGTTGAGGTTAACATCTTACCCTCGGGTTGAGGTTTACCTGTCTACACCACACAGGAGTGCTACATTATACTAGTACAAACAAAAAGAAAACTCATTTTACAGTTTGGCCCACAACGTCATTATTGTAAACTACCTTACCCACACCTACTATAAACTATGTAACACCGGACCAATAGCAGAAACGACGGAAAACTCTCAATTCAATTCAGCTTATTCCTAAAGCAGGAACACGTGTAGTAGTTTTACAAAGTAATAACATGCCTGTGTTAACATAAACGAATTGTTTCGCCAAATAACTATCTTCTAGATTCAATATTTAGATTATGCGATGAAAGGCTGTATTTATAAATATTTTATTTTTTTATTTATCAATAACAGGTTTACATAGATAACATTGCTTTGTTAGAGTATCTAGCTACTTAGTGTTTGTAAATATAACACTTTGAGGAACTTACTTGTTGTGTGATATAAAGACGGGTCCGCGTGATTCAGATGTTTGTTGTATGACGTCATGTTTCCGCCTTCACTATCGGTGACGTCCAGGATTTGTCCGAACTCTTTTTGGATTTTACTTGAAAATTCATAATTAAAATAGGCCTTGATAGCATTTAAAGGATTTCGTAAAATGATTAAAGCTTTGCTGAAAATCCTCAGGGTTTTTTTGGTAGCCTGGTGACTTTTGTATACAATACAATACTTAGTGGAATGTCGGACAGGCACTGTTTCACCAGGAAACCCGTTCTGGGCCAGACTTGTGTCCCGGTAAATGCTCCCCGTGTAGTAACCTTGATTAATGGAAAGCACATCTTGTTGTAATATTTAAAAACTTAATATAAAGGTAATATTGATGACATTCGATATTTTTGTCCGACTATGGGAATTTCCTTAATATTTATTTCCTTAATTCCAGCAAGACTCTTTCAAGAATTTCATTGCGTTAAGAAACGTTCCTGAAACTGGACCACGGCATCATTAAAATCATACAATGCTAACATAGTCCTGCTATTCTGAAGTACCTTTTACGTATGTTATATACTTTTCATTTCAGAATATATATTGTTCAGGTCTTAGATACAAAGGAATTGGGCAACAGGCAAAGCCTATGAGCGCCCTCTCCTTACAGTTGTAAACAGTTTACACACATCATATTGAATTGAAGTAATGATAAAACATGTATATTATATATATATTGATATTTGCATGTCATAATTAAATTTTTTGAAAATTATTGTTACAAAACTTTGATTGTACAGAAAATGGCAATTAAATTGATGCTGGTGGACAGGACAGCACATAGTTCAATTATGTGTTGGTATTATTCTACACAGCAAAGTCGTGAGAAAACAAGTAAGTGTAATCTAGTAAAAGCGTTTAGTATCTTTAATGAATCTCAGAACCATCTCCAAAATACTTATATTCATATTAATATCGAGTCTTCGACATCCACAAAAAAGTCTGAGTATTGAATGGAATAGTGTCATTAAGAGCAGAAATGGAGTTCAAGAGAATTTGCCTTTGATTAGTATACATATTGCAATGGAGGAAGAAGTGATCACAATCCTTAACAGGAAAATTACATAAGCAGGCAGGGGTATCAATTCAGTGTGATTCAAATAGATCTGAATTCAGGTTACTGGCACAGTTAAATTTTCGATCACCATTGTATTTAAATAATAATTATATCAGTACATTGGGGTTGAAAATCCATTTCATCTGAGTGTAAAATCGTTTTTTTTATAGCTCCAATGTGGGATACAGGCAGGTTGGATTATTCCATTCAGACATCAGTTTGTACCATTTGTACTTAGGCTCCTAAACTAATATTTATGTATTTTAAGTCGGACATAGAACACATCTATATCAAGCAAAGGACCTTGGACTAAAAATAAATTTTACCGCATTGCGGTAGTGATACGAGAGTATGATACATCTGCTATGCTAGTGCTGTGATTTGTGTAGAATCGTATTCGATCTGTACCTTACATGTAGGCTGTTGTATCCTCTTTGTACTAGGACTAGTAAATTGAGATGTATTCCAGTCAGTTATTAACGTATTTGCGAGTACTAGATATATTGAATAACATAGTACTGTGACTGTAAGCTTTTACAGACATGTATTCGAAACCTAGAACTGAATTGGTGAGCACTATGTATTCTTTAATTCATGCACGTCGCCTTCGAGCTGTGCTTTATCATGTTAACCAAGTCCGTTACATTTTCTCTCTGATACAATCTGTAACTCATTGCTCTTACCTGTAAGCTCCTGTATAAGATGTCTGACCCACGTGTTGCCAGATCCAGGAAAACTAAGCAGTGCTGTGCGATATCTTGGTTTGTAGGTCAGAAACGACAATGTTTTTGGCTGACAATTTTCGTCTTTGGCTTGTTTTCTGAGTAAGTCTGAACTGGAAGAACTCATTTGTTTTTCAGAATGTCTGTCCATGTAAGGCAATGCAATCCTTGTGGAGATTGAAAGATACGAGTCATGCGTATATCGAGAGTGCTGTGGTTGAGTCATTATAGCGTGTGGCATGGTAGAATAACATACTAAAACTAGTAATATAGCGCCAAATATAGCAATACAGCGTCCCCACCCAAAACCTACCGAACGACTTAAGGAACGAAACATGCCAATGGCACAAAGCACTATTTCTCGAGAAATAGTTTAAACACAAGAAAAACGGGATACTCATTTATCCATTTATCCTTTTCTTAATAAACCCAGGGACTTTTCAAACTAATTGAATCAGATACATTAGAGGAAACGATGAGAAGAATCCATGTTGTTGCTATCTGAATGAATCATATATGTCACTGAAACAAATAGGGGACACATGGCGTTGGAACCACTGCTTCTATACTGCTAGGAGAAAATACGTCGGCGTTACCGTTTCCTTTTTCGTAGGAAACAAACGTTGAAGTGACTGTCTATCCTCTGAAAACATAAGTCGGCGTGACAGTTTCCAGTTCCTATCCTTCAAGGAAACATACTTTTCATCTCAACTATTAACGATTAATAGTATTCAAATAACCACTAAGATTTTACTTTGTATGTCCTTGCTCCTGTCAGAATTAGTTCTAACCGTACTGAGCTGGCAGCAGAGGATTTTCCTACAGTCTTAAAGTCAGAATACAATCTGTGTATCTGTGTATACGTCGACAGGACTGTTGCTATCCTTCAAGGAAACATACGTCGACGGGAATGTTTCTATCTTCTAAAACACTTTGGCGTGACTGTTTCTATCCCCTCATGAAACATACGTCGGCTTCACTGTTTCTTTCTTCTAAGAAAACATCCGTCGGCGTCACTGTTTCTATCCTCTTAGGAAACATCCGTCGGCATCACTGTTTCTATCCTCTAAGGAAACAACCGTCGGCGTCACTGTTTCTATCCCAAATGAAAGATTGCCAGGCATTACATGTATCTAAGAAATTTTAAGTCGGCATCACTGCTTCCACTCGTCAAAAATATTGGTCGGTGTCACTGTTTCTATCCTTTAAGAAATTATAAGTCGTCACCTGTTGATTAAAGCCGACCACAATAACCTGTCGCGTTGACGTTTACGTTCGTTATCCATATCGGTAAATTGACTTCTTTCCCTACACCAGTTGTTTACCTGTTGGTGTATGGGTCCTTTAAATACAATTTTTAATTCGGGACGTTTTCATTATTCGTCAATTTTGTAAATATTTGCTGATATAAGAGATATCTTAAATGAAAAATGCATCAAAGTGGGTACCAAAGTAGAAATTTAAGAAGTATTGAAATTTTGATTTGTTTATTTACATGAAAATGGTTAAGCTAACGAAGAATAGGCTTGGAGTTGGAACATATTTTACGTGCCAATATGCATACAGATGTTGCAGTAAAAGTTTATGGAGACATACAAAGAATATTAAATAAAACATAAAAATACAGTTTTGATGTATTGTTATTATCGGCTTTTGATAAATAAAATGCTGTCGCTTGGGTTATCCCCATCAATACATCTTTGTTGTCATTTATGAACAACAATTTGTTAAACACGACCTCAATCTAAAAAATTAGTGAATATTGACGAACGCAATCGTCAACAGCAACTATACTTTTATCCTAATTCATTTATACACGATTTGGACCTGGACAGCAGTAAGATAGATACAGTCAGAAAAAGTAAACAGCACGAATTGAATTGAATAAAAGAAGAGGCCACTTAGCCTTTACGGCCACCTTGGTTGTCTTTCAAATCAATTATTGCTGTGATGTGACAAAGCAAAAATCGCACATGTGTACCAGTTATAAAAGTTTGATTTTTAAGGAATTAGTTAGTCTATTTTTCAGGTTTTATTTTTTTTCTAAATATCTTTCCATCAACAAAAAATAGTTCAAAGTATGCAATTACATGTAAGTTCCCTACTGAAGTGAACAAAATGTACCCTTAGGTGTTACTTTTTTAATTAAAACTTTACTCTTCCCCGATTGACCCGGGGAAATGAACATCATCTTATAATACAATAAATTGAACAACATTCACAATTATAAAAACAACTTTAGAATCTTTTCATTACTGGAGAGTAATTGATTATGTTAGCCAATTTGACCCCCAGACCTTTTAAGTAAGTATATTATTACCATGGAATTTGTTTAAAAGTGAAAAAAATGGAATCGGTTAAACAGTTTTGTTTGCGGACGGATCGCGGATAAAAGGCAATCGCAATAGGTAAAGAGAGAATTTATCTTAGTTGATCTAATAAAATACGACACGTATAAAAGAAATAATAGAAAGAATAGAAATGCACAAAAAGTACGAAATCAAAGACGATTATTATACATTAAATAAATATAACTGTTGGGATATGCATCAAAGAAACAAAGTGTGTCGCAACCATTAGCCCTTTCTCCGCTCTTTCAATCATTTAGTATTTATGATGCTTTTTTACCTTTGATATCTGCTTACATGGATGGTAGATAAACATATGTTTCTTAGATCTAAAAAGAGATACAATCGTAACCAACATACATGTAGATTGGAGGTCGGCTCAACAGGTTATTGTGGTCAAAGACAGAATGGATACATCGGCTGATATTGATCGGAGACAGTCGGCGATACTGTTTCTATATTCCAAATAGACAACACACTGTAGTGAAGAATTACATTGTATACAGCGCCGTTGTCAGAGTCGCGCTGACATGGTCAGATCTGAATGTATCATGAGAGTGTGACAGTTGCTGATAAGGGAGCGTGTCAATGTACCATACGTGTGGTCAGTCCTTACTGACTGCAGAGGTAGGAAACATAGCATGTCTACGTCGGTGTCATTGGATGTGTTTTGATAATAACATATGTCCAGGATCTTAAATTTGGAGAGTTCTTTCGTATTTGAATTTCATAATTGTCATATTTTATTCTAGATATGCAAATATTAGATAAGACAGTTAAGCGTTATAGGCATTACTTATCTCGACGAATATGAACGAACAAAACGCCAAGTTTGCACGATCATATTGCCAAGTGTCAGGCTTGGTGTTATCTGCGATTCGGTACGCGTATATTTACACAAAGTTAATGTGACTTCCCCCCCCCCCCCCTTTTTTTATTACGCGCATACATTAAATCGAAAACCTGTCATATTGTCCTTTGTGTGAAATATTCGAATCTGGTTATTGTATTTATTTTCAGGTGTACTGACGTGTTGATTGTGCAGGTGTATCGAGTGCAATAAATATACAAATATACTTTTATTTATTAGGTTTGCACTTGGTTCTTGACAAAAAACGGTTAGTTCAAACTTTTGCACGTTTAAACTTTATTGACATAACGATCTATTATTTACTTATCAGTCCTTACAAAATTTCCGGTGCTGATTCAGGTGTGACAGATAATAAATGAGACCCTGATGTGAAAATGAGTTGTACTGTCTTAAGCATATAACAATGAATTTTGTAAATAAACATATCATTTATATCTCATAACGCTAGGTAATTAAACTAAACTCAGATGTAAAAAGCTATTTTTGTAACTGTTTCAAACTATTAATATAGACCAGTGAAAAATATTTACCTATACATCTGATGGAAAGGTTAAATGATCACAATGATCATTATGTAGATCAGAAAAGGTCGTAGTTCAGGTCTATCTTCAATATCAACCAGTATGGAATACCTGTCATTTGCAAATTTCATAACAGTGCAGCAATGCTAGCTTAAGTTAACATACAAAGTACCAGGGGTGACCGTCCATATCATAAACCTCTCATATCTTACATAAATATCAACAATATAAGCAAGCAAATCTATAAACCGCAAACATTTGAATGTTTTCCATTAAGAAACTCTGAAGATGATTTTTTTTTAATTTGGCAATACGATTATATAGCCACGCTAGATTGCTTTCTCCCAGATACAATAAGATTATATAGCTAAGCGGGCCGTGAAGCCGGCTTGCTTTCTCTCATATACAATACGATTATATAGCCACGCTAGCTTGCTTTCTCTCATATACAATATGATTATATAGCTACACTAGCTTACTTTCTCTCATATACAATATGATCATATAGCTACGCTATCTAGCTTTCTCTCATATACAATACGATTATATAGCTACGCCAGCTTGCCTTCTCTCAGATACAATAAGAATATATAACCAAGCCAGCTTGCTTTCTCTCATATGCAATAAGATTATATAGCCACGCCATATTGCTTTCTCTCATATATGATAATATTATATAGCCACGCTAGACTGCTTTCTCTGATATACAATGGGAATATATGTCCAAACCAGCTTGCTTTATCTCATATATAATAAGATTATATAGCCACGCTAGCTAGCTTTCTCTCAGATACAATACGATTATATAGCCACGCTAGCTAGCGTTCTCTCAGATATAAGAATATTATATAGCCAAGCCAGCTTGCTTGTTCTCAGATATAATAAAATTATATAGCCACGCTAGACTGCTTTTTCTCATATACAATAAGAATATATGACCAAGCCAGCTTGCTTTATCGCATATACATTACGAATACAAAGCCACGCTAGCCTGCTTTCTCTCAGATACAATACGATTACATAGCCACGCTAGCTTGCTTTCTCTCAGATAGAATAAGGTTATATAGCTAAGCTAGCATGCCTTCTCTCAGATACAATACGAATACAAAGCCACGCTAGCCTGCTTTCTCTCAGATACAATACGATTACATAGCCACGCTAGCTTGCTTTCTCTCAGATAGAATAAGGTTATATAGCTAAGCTAGCTTGCTTTCTCTCAGATACAATACGATGCTATAGTCACGTTAGTTTTCACAGAGATTCTGTCGTCTACTGAATAGAAAACTACATATATACTGTAAAAGACAGTTTAATTAACCCAATCAACTTCATCACACGTTTGGTTTTGGTGTCGTTTAAGTGCATATTAATCAGGCATATTTGAAATGTAATGCAATATATACTTTGAAATCAAACCGATTCTCATGAATAAAAAAATGTTATTTTCAGTAAAAATCAGTTGAATTGAGCAGAAACTAACATTTTAATATAATAAGACTTCCAATTGGCCTTTACTTATCAACATCTATTTTGTTTTAATAAAGTGGGACAACGTGGCTGTGCTAAGTTTATGTGGTAAATGTTGCATGATAAAATTGATAAACAAACTATGTCCATATGACGCAGGGGTATTCTATTTAATGCAAGGGCAATGCAGATCTTCGTCATAGAAATCAATTAAAGATACCTTTTGTTTTGTAATTTTTTATTTTTCAAGTCTTTTTTTCCACAATCAAAATACATTTAGCACGTCATATACAAACACATGCACTCACACACACACAACTACAAACTACTCGTGGTTCAGCATTACATTCATAATCTCAACATCATGAGATTATCATCATCATACAATAGAATGACATAATGACACTAATCATAAACATAATCATCATCATAAGCATAATCATCATCATCATCATCATCATCAGAGAGAGAGGGAGACAGACAGACAGACAGACGGGAGACATTGTTTCATATAAATAAATAGAAAAATCAGAGAACGGAGCTAAACAGGCGTTGTTAGTCTTGGGGACAAATACAATCAGACAACTATAATTCTAGAATAGGTTTCCATTTTCTCCAATTGAGATCAAACTACCTATTAACATGCTCACTTTTACTGGGATTTATTTATTGTTGCACAAGAAAATGATCTTTGATGACATTGATAAGTGCAGTGAGATTCAAAGAGTTGCTGAGACATCTAGTTTTATAGATATAATGTTTCATAAGAATTAAAATTTCATTATCAACATAGCTAGAGTACTGTGATACAATTCCAAAAAGGAAAAAATCTTTATTATAAACAAACGGAATTAAAAGTATATCAAAAAATGATTCAAATCTCTGTAATAGTGACCGGACCTCTTGGCATTCCCATAATCAATGTACTATTTTTTCACGCTCCATATAACATAAGGTACATAAAGGACTAGGCGTTATGTTTATTTTAAAAAGAAAAGAGTTGGTCACCAAAATATGGTGCAATTATAGATACCTAATGGTAGATGTTTAGGAGACAGTGTTTTTGACATTGTCTTTTTCAGTGTGGCTGTTGTTCTATGTTCGTTATTCAGCTATCATGTTTGAGATGTCCAATCATTCTTATTTGACTGCCATTGTTGTCCAAACTATCAATACATACCATCTCTACAACAACCAAACCAGTTATAGATGACTCCATTAAACAAATTCGTCATGGTTATGTATGGGCTGCAGAGTTTGCTCCTCTTTTACAGAAGGCATTCTATTTTCGGATATAACCATTAATAATTTTAATAGATCGACTGGGATATTCTAAAATATTAGCCTAAATACCCATTCAAAAGGCAGTTGATGAACACGAAAATATCAAAACCTTCCATGAAAAGAAGGGGAAAAATACAAGAAAAACACAAAACAAGAAGTGGTTTGATAATTACTTCAAATCATTGAGAAACAAATTAATGAGATACGGTCAGTTATACACATTTTAGGAGACTAAAAGAAGTGGTATAGCTTTGCAGCCGTTTCCAAGGTCAGACGGAATTCAATATACAATGAAACAATCACATCAATGTTTAAGGTAAGTAGAGAAACATGGTATAAGATGTATATCTATGTTCAAAGGACGTGTACACTGCTACACTACCAAGCAGGCTTGGTTTAGGATGTATATCTATGTTCAAAGGACGTGCACACTACTACACTACCAAGCAGGCTTGGTTTCCTTAAGATATGGGTACATAAGTACATTGTAAGTCAGTTCATTTAAAAATATCAAATATTTTGTCACAATTTAATTAAAAGAGACGGTTTAGAAAAAAGTAAGACGTACCGGTCTTAAATAATGCATAATAATTTTTCGCCCAATCAAACTTTCTCCTTTCGCTAGTAAAATAGGTAATGGCTCTGTTTAAAATTAGCCCTTTACAATTAATCACAATGTATATAATGTTGTTTACTAATGTTAGCTGTGATGATGAATGCGTCCACATTATGGAATGACACCTGCATTAATTCCTCCTTCATGTACCTACACTTTGAGGAAAAACGTTTGTGGCTGTTAAACCTGGCTGTTTACATGTTTACAATGATATAGCACTTCATGGTACAGCTATGATAAAAAGGGGGCTTCACTGAAAAATATGCAACGTAGTTACATTTTGGTTTCTAACTTGGATTCTATAATGACAGGCAACAAGATCACAAGTTTCTCCGCGAGTAGAATATGATCAGTACCTCAATGCTGGAGAGCGAAAGGGAGGTAATCAATATTTGCTTCTCTCTAAAGACACTCCCGGGTTTGTAATGTGTAGTTTTGCTTCCTATACAAACAATGCAAACACAAATGCGTTCACCTTGATTAAAGAATAATTGGGTTAGATCTTTAAAGTGAATTTTCAAAATACATGTATAATTTTCGAGGATTTTTAATATATTTGCATTATTGTTTTCAGAACATCATTTTGAGATCACTATTAATGTTTATCTTATCATTAACTTATTCACCCCTAAAGGTACATTTAAACTCTTCCAATTCAAAGTTTGAAATAGTTCATTATGAAATTTGAGGGGTGAATAAGGTAGAACACAAGTGGGATTTGAAATCAATACTTAACAAGAAGTATGAACAAAGCAGCTCAGGAGAACGTGGAGGGAGGGTAAAGTCAATACAAAGCAGGATATAAAACGTTCTGTGCCTGTTCATTGAGACAGTACCACACCAGTTACTAAGGACGTAGGATACATTCCAGTTACGTGCAGTTATCGTAAAAATATCAACAATTAAAAGGTGCACATACTGTAATAATTTTCCCGCCAGATTTGGAGTGATTATACACTTCATAACGTCGGTATGTTAAAAAGCTGAACATACGAAGTCATGTTAAAGTATGTTATCACATATATAGATCACAGATAGAGCTATCGTATCAGTTACCACCAATAGACGACCTGTCACTGTGATAATGCCGAAATCATCTGGCTATTTATGAGGAGGTCGTTTAATTTAGATTCTGTTCACTCCTGTGTAGATATGGCTATTTAAACCCGAGTTTTAAATACTAACCACGACCTTTAAAACTCTGGGTCCACTCAATTTTAGAATGGATAGCTTACCAAAACGTAAATGCAATATTTCCTAATATTATCATAAAGAAATATATTTTATTACATTTTTGCCAATGAAATATCGGATTCAATCAACTTGATAAAACTGATATCTTTCACACTGTGAAAATATCATTTTTTGGTATAGACCATTCATAACGGTATCTTCTTTTCGCTGCACTCAAAGGCAACATTTTTTTCGTTCAGATTCATATGAAGCGACGGTAGAATAAGTGGTTGTTATGGTAAATGTTTGGTACACACACTTAAGTATTTATATGAATATACAATTAATAACATTTTTATAAGCAATATTATTATTTTTTCATAATATTCCCGCTACTGATTGGCCAGGAATGCATCACGTGTCCACCGATAAAAAACGATATTGACTTGGAGCGCGTGATTTTTGTTGAAGGACTGGGTTTTTCTAAAAATAGAAGTATGACGTCTCTTAAAACAATGACCGTCCCAGCTTTTTTATTGTGTCTTTTTCAGAAAGCTAACATTACTGTTTTGAAAAATAAAAAACCAATTGTAGCCTTTAACTTCGGTCAATACCTGGATTTATCGACCCGAGAAAAGATATATTGACCTCGGACTGAGTCCTCTGTCAAGATATCTTTTCTCGGGTCGATAGATCCAGGTATCGCCCCAGCCAAAGGCTATAATTAAATAATACCAGATAATAGCAGAAAACGTCGGAATCGCGTTGAGTATCCCATTCAAAATGGCGCACAGCCTTGTTGTTAAGCGTGACGTCATTAGAATATGGCGCTAATTATTACGCTTCTGATTCCCGCCCTTTTTTAATGCATTACTTTTTCGTATTTTATGCTTTAAAAATGTAAAAAATTGAAAATGTTATGGTGTCTTAAGTAATAACAAATATATTTCACTCATGTGGCTGATATTTTGATATTTTTCACTCGTGCCACATTCGTGAAATATATCTGTTGTTACTGAAGACAACGTTAAATATCCTCTATTTAGTTTATGTGCTGTTTTAAAAAATACGAAATTCCGGAATTGAATAAATAGAAATTTCAATTATGATTTAGTTAGATGTTTATGAATATATTTGACAAAAACATAAAAACTTGATGTCATGGGGATTGACCAAATTGAAGAAACACAAGGAGGTTCCCTTTATCTTATTTTCAATGATACATTTTAAAATTCTAAATCTGTAAGAAGTTTCTATAATACCTTGGAGGTAAAACGATCATGCCGACAGATTTCATCCAGATATTCTACGGTAGATTTGCATTATATTTGGTACTCAGCGCCTTTCTCAAGTGTTTTACAGGAACTTAAAAGATCGGTCATTACACCAATTTTAACCCCCGCATGACAATTTATGATTTAATTCATTTCACAATTACTTTATATATACTAAGCAAGAATAAGATTGCGTTTCATTACTTTAGTGTTGTGCTACAAACATTAATAGCGTCTTCCAATGTAATGCTATGCTAAACGTGATTGACTTTAAGAAACCAGTACATTGTCTTATTGTCGACAACAAAAGAAGGGGTCAGTCGCGAAACAGGAAATAATTGTATTCTAATGTGGTCTTTATACAATGCTGGTTAAAAACATGTTGTGCTCGTACAGTGATGCATTAACACACCAACTGTTTTATTAATAAAGGTATAGTATACAGCCCTTATATACATGTTAAACAGAAGAGGTATATGTATCTATTTCTTTTAATATTTCCTGGGTATGTTACCCTTCTTTGACAGACAAGTTGTGATACCCTGCTTTGTGTCTAAGATAGCTACCCATTTTTTGTATTCTTCATTTCGAGTGCATACAATAAACAAGTTTCTCTGAAATGCTCTTCAGTGTTTGCCTATTTGTCAGTCAGCATATAAAAAGAATCATGACCTTTCAAGCATTCATTGCAATCTATACATTTGCAATGACTGCAGAGTGATTTACATAAAAGCTTCGTTAGAAAAATCTTCTTTTTCAATATCTCAATCTGTTTTGTGATAAGTTCATCATTGTTTTTCTAGTCTGTATTTTTGTTCTTTATCCTATCTTATTACGCGCCTTTTAAGCTTTTCCTTTCTAATATTTTCTAAATCATTATTTTATATTTATTTCTTAATATCATTTTTTTTCTGACAAAATACTTTTCATGGTGAAATCAAGTTATATAGACCAGACACACAACTTAGTTTATAATCTTCTTTAAAAAGTATCAGTTTCCATTAGTTGTTTGTAATTAGTCGGATGGTTATATAGTGCTGTGTACCACATCCTGGCTTTTTTGGTTAAGTAACATTTACAATTATTTTCAATTAGCAATCGTTGTTATAAAGTAGTTGAAACATATGTTGTTTTCTTTCTTTTTTCCAATTCTTAATTGCATTGTTTTATGAGAAAGTCTGGTGCTTGATGATCCTGTTCATTGTCTGGAAACGCAAAATTCAAAGGAGCAATACTCGTTTAATTGTGTTTGACCTTAAGACCCCCATACGAAGATAATTATTTACGTGTGTACTATGCCGTATACAATGTCAGTTTAAACTATACCAACCACAAGCTTAACATGTACAATATATCATTTTTATTCAGGCCTTTTTGACAAACAATGATATATCGATTATAAACACGTGTATTCATAAATCAGCAAGGGTTCTCAGATTTAAACATACCAATCAAAATAGATGTAATTTGACCAAGTATTGGTGTTTAACCATGTAATAGGGGGAAATGCCACTCGCAGTTACTCTATTGCTAGTAACAATAAAACCCGTTGAGCTTTGAATATGTTACAATGAAAACGAAAATACATGAGGCGGCATTTTCTATGGCGAAATATCAAGTTACGATACTATAGAGACACTTGGCTCCCACACACATGAAATACATTTATGTGTGCTCTTGCCTGATGACGGTTGTTGACACACTGTTTGGTAAGTGGACATACCTATTTACTAAGTCTACTGAACTTCACATCAAGTAGGCGATTTGGTTATTTATATACCACAGGTATTGCAAGACCTACGCGTGTGTACTACACAACTGGGTGTCTGGTGTTCCGTTTCCATTCAATTAACTATTGAACATTTTTGTGACGACCCTTTATCACTTATGAATTATGTTTGGATGTGAATACATATATGAAATATACCAAATGCTAGCACAATTGATGTATCTACTGTTTTACGGAACCATTCGCATATCTGTAATCGCTTTTTCGTAATTAAAATAATATGGTATTTGATAAGATATGTCCTTTTTAAGTTTTTGCTTACATAGGTATGAAATGGATTAAAACTTCATGTGACGGAATTAAGGGAGGTATCGCTGCTCGATTTACCGCTATACGTAACTGAGGCTAAGAGGAGAATTTCATACAATCTTTAGTAGATCGAGTGAAAAGAGCCGGCTCCTGTTGGGTGACAGTGCCGCCATCTTTCAGAGCCCCACAACCAAGGTGTTACTTGGCCTTGTGATCACCGTGCTTGGCCTCGTCATGCACGTTTTCTAAATCATCACCCTTCAAACCAGAACATGAATTATTCTTGGTACATGTAGTTGGTATATATGTTTCTAAGTGAAGATAATTAATATTTAAATATTAGTACGAGTATATATAGGTGTGTGTGTGTACAAGTGAGGACAGATAGGGCAATTGGCAGGTATCCAGGTATATAGGTATGTACGTCCGTACATAAAGGTAGGCATGTGGGAAGGTAGATATCTGCGGTATTTATATTGTTCCTGACTCATTTGGAGTTTTCTTCCCTAGTAACATACATAATTTATCATGGTTCTCGCGTATTCTAAATGAACTGTAGAGTATGTTTTAGTGAGCCTAGATCAGATCAAGCAAAATCTGTGAATACTGCTCTCATATTGGTCGAGAGATTCCGCGCAACAAATGTAATAAAATATTACAAGATTCTGATTTAACTTGATTAATATAAATATTGCCGAAAGACGAAGATTATTTGATGACTTTAAAAGACGTTTACTCTTAAATAATTAGCATTCTACATTGTACGCTGTCTTTATTAATTTATGTATTATATTATTGCATCCCTCCATCCGACGATTCTGCACAATTAATCAATGAAATATCGTATCCTTATTTATAGATCTTCGTCACTTTGTCAATTACACTAAGATTAGGTTCAAATTTGAGCATAATCCGGCAGTAATGACGCAGCGCTCAGATGTAGTGACTGTAATAGACTTTGATAAGTTGATTATGGGTAAAAGGGCATTGACCATTTCCAATATTATGGTTTGAAAAATGGACAATTGGACGCTGGTCCTTTACTTGAATAATATTTGACTGATGTATGTATGCATAAGAGGTTTTTTGGCGTTGACGTTTGCTACAGGGACATTCTGTAAGATCCTTGTTGACCACCTATCGTGAGCGTCATCACTAAGCATTGAACATTTCGTCGGAAACAATGCTGACCTCTGTCAAATACCCTCGTCTGATTGGAAAGTTGAGACTAAAACGCTTCTTTAATTGTTATACAACTTCCCTACGCTGTGAGTACACTCCACATGATTTGTCAAGATATATATTTAAGATTCAGACGTCCATGGTGCAAGTACGTAGGTGTAGGAAGAATATGTATTTTGCGTTATTAACGTAAACCGTATTTGTTTAGTGTCGGGAGTAAACGTCACTTCCGTTTTTCCTCGTCCGGGATACAATATCTGACTGATAGAAATGTACAATTCCTCACTTACATCGGCCAGCCGGCGACAAGTAAATGCCAGTTAAAGTCAATGACACTTGCATATGAGGTCAAGTATTTGTTAACAACCTAAACAGAGAAATGGACTGGCGATCTCTTTTAGTACAGACCATCTCATTTCCAAAGTATTTCTTTTGAAATGTTCATAAAAGCATTTTCATATTGTACATTGTATAACGAATGATAAAGGTTTCGCATGAACCGCTCCGTAGATTAACCGTCATTGATCACGTCGTACTTTAGATGTATGCATATCTCACTTGTCAATGTCATATTTGATAGTTTTAGATACAAATCCAGGAGTGTTTATTATCTGATAGCGTAGCATTTTTTACATTCTGATTGAAAATTGTTTTTTTTTTTTATTTCCTTTGACGGGTTCAAAATTCGACCAATTACAACGAAATCACCAATGATTTAGATTCCCGATCACCGATGACATTTATTTCTGAAAGACGAACAGATACAGTTGAGTCGCCTTTAAAAGATGAAAATATACGTTTTCAACACAAAAATACCATCAGGACAGATTTAAAAACGCCAATAACAGCTGTTCTTACAAACGTCCCGCATCGCTATTCCGAGTATCGTCAGATACAACAAGTTGCTGATTTCGTCGTTTTTGTGTGGTTGAGCTAGAGGTTAACAGGACGACCAGACATTCACAGTAGGTAAAGAAATGTATTTTATCAAAAATGTGAATTTATTTAAAACTTGGTTACCGAAACCCCCTCCAAAAGGGGGAGGGGGTTAGATACTGTAGATGATGTTTTGATATATTTAGAGATCTTTATCACGGAAGAAACAGAAAACAAATTAAAAGCCTGATTATTGAGGCACATGGGATTTCCATATATTATATAATTTGTATCTATTTCGCCGGGCCTTAGCGTTTCGTTGGGTCTAGCATTACTAACGTTATTAGCTCGCCTGGTTCAAAGGACAAATGAACTATTGTTTAATTGGTGGGGCGTCCGTCGTCCGTCCATCCGTGAACTTTGTTTTTTTTCTGTTATATAGGTCAGATTTTATGTTGATATTTTTTGGCTCAATTCGGAATGTAATATGGCCGCTATGACACATTTTCAACTTGTAAGACGGAGCCCACTTTCAAGGTCACAGGGTCAAATGTGTTGAACTTTCTAGACAACTTATCCTATCTGATTGATCAAACTTTAGGGATGAAGTGCCATTCCCGATGAGTGAAAAAAGAACACGTGACTAAGATATAAACCTATTCTATTCTACTTTCAAATTGTTGAAATGGGAAGTTACAGTTTCCCATTTTGATGAGTACATGGGTTCACTGTATCCAACTGGTTTCCTATTGAAACTAACGTATATTGTGGTACTCGAAAAACCCTAACAAAAACGTGTTTTACGACCCTGGTATTTGTGTGTAGTTTTGGTCATTATAAGTTCTTTAAGTTTCACACATTATTGTTCATGTTATATGTAATGTGTTTTTACTCTAAAATTTGTTTAACAGTAGTCATGTTAAACCCGGTGAGCGATTCAGACCTACTTGGCCTTTTGTTCTTAGCAGTGATGAAACTTGGTTGATTCTCATAACTAAAATAAGTTATTTGAATGGTATTGAACTTTTTTTCTGTTGACACTATGGAAAATATTGATATCTTCTTGCGTTAGTTTAGTAGCAATCAACGTTCCTCTAAAGAAATGTTTGATACAGAAAACTTATATTTGGTTAGTATCTATCTTGGATGGATGGCCATCAAAATTGACCAGATAAACCTCTTTTACAAAAAGGCATTGACCATTTCCATTGTTCGACAGTTGTGTATCTACGTTATTTCCATTTTGCCGTATTCTAGTTGTGCTTGGTTTGACGTCCTTGTAATACGGTTGTGTTGAGACTAAACTTAATATTATTTAATTAAAGTATTGTAAGTTAGCATGGGTTGAAGTATAAAATATGATATACGCGCCTATAATTCGAAAAACAAGAAAAGAATACCGAAGTTTCAACAAAGTCGAATTGAAAATCGATTACTCTCGGGCCAAATACTAACAATGGAAAGATAAAACCTGTAGACCCTCGGATAAATACGAGATTAAATATAATTTGTCTGTACTCTGTACGTATAAAACAAGAATAAACCTATTTGTATAAGTTTATTTTTTTCATAATAATAAATCGTGTCTCCAATTACACTACATCAACTTTATGTAAAATTCCTGATTGTGAACTGGAGACAATAAATGTTAAAACAAGCTTTACCTTGCGAAATCAATAACATGTTTTATGGTCAGTAGAAAAACGATGTAGTTGGTCGGGAAGCAAAAACTGGTCTTTAAAAAATGCTTGTAATATAATGTTTGTGCTTGTTTATTGACGCAGAAACAAACATGTTAAGGTCATTGTATACAGTCTCGGTACGCAGAGTTAAACTCCAAGGTTTAACAATTCGACACGTACCTGCCAGTTCCAGGGCGAATGAACACTCCTCACGATCGATATTTATCGCTTTTAAAAGGGTACTTATCTTACAATAGACCAACTGTCACTTTGATTATGTTGGCAAACAAATTCTTCAATATAACCGAGTTGTACCACTGATCATGTCGAAATTATCCACTGAAACATCAATACCTCCTTTGATGAGGTGGCCGAACTACAGTAATACCCTTGCTTATCCTGGCTAGTTGAGTTGGTGCCAGATATTTTGAGTTCGAGGCCTGAAGAGGTTCCAAGTCATTCCATGTATATATATTTATATATTATAAATCAGGAAAACGATCTTCGGACGAAGAAATATTATAAAAAGAAAAATTCTTAACAACGGGTACTTTCATCTCTTCTAGGAGATTCTTCAGACTATTTATTTGAGGTATATGTTGTATACATACAAGTATATGTTATATAACATACACTTCAAATAAACAGTCTGAAGAATCTCCTAGAAGAGATGAAAGTATTAAAGACTTGTTGTTGAGAAATTTTCTTTTTATAATATATATATAGTTGATAATAAATAAATAAGTTCTTACGAAGAAAAATGTAGAATAAAAACATAAATATTTCAGATCGTCCGCTAAGCCTTTCTGCCTTCTAGGGCTTCTTCAGGGTGATTATATATATATATATATATATATATATATATGTGTGTGTGTGTGTGTGTGTGTGTGTGTGTGTGTGTGTGTGCGCGCGTATTAAAAGCTTGCGAACCCATATTTTAAACTTTTTTGAACTAGTAAAAAATCGTTACTATAAATTTCTGATTACCAACGGACATATCGAGTTGACGTAATTTTGGAAGAGAACATGTTGAATATTACAACAGCGGGACAAGTTAGTGACACATTTATTCCACAGTACACTCTGTATGTACTTCCAATTTTACGTTTTATTGTACGGTGTTTACATCCCATTTGATAAGATAACAACCGAAAAAACAGTCATGGACTGAAATAAATATGTACAGTTTTTAAAATTGTTATGTATTTCACTTATAACTGATGTGTATACATAAAAACAACAATATTACCAGAACAACATGTTTTTTTTTATTAATTACCGTATTCTTCTAGCTTATTTGAATATTTTCACAGAACCAACCATATATCTGAAATCTGAATCTGGATATTTAATTCGATGTGTCTGTTTCAGTGATAACTACTGACGATGACAACTTTCTATATAAAGAATAAGTTTAATGAATATCATGTTAATTTGACTATAGCCTTTTAATATGTATACCTGAGTAGCGATCCTCACTCGCTTGACAATAAGATTGTCTGGCGCATGTGCGTGGTCGCAGGATCCAGGGATGAAGGAGTCTCCTCTCTGAAGAATGGTTGCCCGACACCAGATTGTCTTGTTTCTGACACTGCACCTCCATGATGTTGTCCTGTTGGTCACGGTCTGTAAATAAAAGATGTTAGGTTTAATATAATAGAATAACAGAAATACGTATGTATAACTCGATAGTATATTTAATATATATTGTTTAAAAAGCCCAGATAAAATATGTATTTGTGTGACACCTTTTTATGTATACCTTGACGGTGTAGGCAAATCCATCAGAACTAACAAGCTTCCGGCGGCGCTTGTTGGATCCCTCCTCCACAATCTCGAAACGGACGGGCTGGTCTTCCAGGACAGAGTCGGTGGGTACAACGTCATCAAGTGATCTGCAAAATTATATCGTTATATAAGATGCGGAAATAAAAGTTATTATTTCTTAAATAATTAATAATAACATTACAAATATTCATACACAATTTAACAACAGATACTTACTGTTCGACAATTGGAGGGTTGTCCTGAGACATTACAAATATACATACACAATTTAACAACAGATACTTACTGTTCGACAATTGGAGGGTTGTCCTCAGGCCGATCGGGGAGATCAAAAGCCCCATCTAGTGTGTCGTTGTCCATCCCACTGATGTTCCTGACATCAAAAGAAACGTTCAGCCTGTTAAGAGATAAAAAAGTATTCGTGAATAATTACTTAACATAAAGCCAAGTTGTAAAATTACAAGACAAGTAAAGCGTAACAAACCATTTTATGATATAATTAGATTATTCTGCACGTATGTAGCATGTGTAACAGTATTCGTGACTTACTCGGCAGTCTCCGCGATCTCTTCGGCTGCTGCGACCTCAAATGTCTGGTTGGCGTCATGGCGTACGGGGGACAAACCAAAACTTGATATAAGTTCATATTTTGTTGTCTAGATTTATTATTTCATACATGTTCGGATGAGTATAATCATGACATTGCGCTTTATTTTATAAATACCTTGTGATATTCCAATTCATCGGCCCAATGCATGTACCGACAACTCCAGGGTGGGAGGCTGGTCTAGACCCCTTCGTGGTGGTGGCGACATCGGGAGGTTGGACACTTCCAACACTGGAGACAATGAAATGGAAGAAATGAAATACTATTATATAGTTTAACTCCATTCATCTCTTATATTATATCTTATATATCTTATATCCAAAACACTCGATATGATACCGAAAATCCGCTATTTATATTTCTTACCTCATTCTGTTCGACGATGTAGGTGGAGTCAAGGTTCGAGACAGGATTTGTCGATGTCGGAGTGACTGAGGGTGGGTCCGCAATACTCGTCTGTTGGGGGGAAAACTATTATTTTAATCGTAACCTTAAAGGGGCTGGTCGGGGAAAAAATGTCATATTTGCTAAAATGGCATACAATTGTTAAAAATACCTTCTTATGAAATATACGGATTCAAATTTTACTGAAATTCACTCCCTAGAGTAAAAATTATAATTATATTAAAGAAATCCTAAATCGTCACCTGACAGTCTAAAACTCTCAATTGACCCAGATCAGTGATGTAATTTTACCGCAAGCGCGTCATCAACAAGGCCAAATGTAAACATCGCGGCGAAAGAAAAAGATGCATATAAGGTTTAGTTTAAATCAATTTTATTGTAACAAAAGACAAATGGATTGGACAAAAGTTATTGCAACTTACTTACGTCCTTTCCGTAACAGAAAATATATATACAAAATTAATGTGTCACATAATAACCTAATACAAATTTATATATGTATATATATATATAAAAGATGTTAAAGATGGGTTACAGCAAAAGAGGTAATGATAGGATTAGGGACACCAACGTATAGTTTTTAAATATGTATTCGGAGAGTTTACTTGAGATCGCGTGTGTGATTTTCCCAATCGAGTAGGCGTAAGTAGTATACCTAATCTATACACACATATCCTTCTGCTTTTCTAAAGTTCAATCACATTCCGTGCCGCATTTGCCTTTCTCCTGTGTCACTCCAAGTCCTTCTGTGAATTCCTGCCTTACATACTTAGCCGACTAGATTAGGAAAACCGGACACGCACTCTTTAATACAAGGTCATGACAAGCACGAGGTATCAATACCGTTATATATAACAACAACATATAGGTAGGAATATTACACTTGCATCATACATGACCTTTGAAAACAATTATTTACGTAAAGTATTGCTGTCTTGTCCGATAGTTGAGTCCGACATGGCACATGACGGCGTGCTATTGTGGTTATCTTCACTGCCTCACTTTCGAAACAACCACGTGACATATAAAAATAGATCTGCGCTAAATTTACACGGGGCTTCCCCGAGATTTCAGTGGTCAAAACTGGACATTGCAAGCAGAACTCGACCATCATATTGCCGTGGTATAACTTTTGGAAGGCCAGATAATGCATTTAGACCCATTTATTTTGTATTTTATTCCCCGACCAGCCCCTTTCACGGGTTAGCACGGTAATTTGTATATCGACCAAATTTTGATTTTACTTTTGATGTGTTATATTTCTTTATCATCAGTTCTTACCTCATCAATATATAGCATAGTGGGGTCCATCATCATGGTTGCCTCTAAGACGGGCGGCTGCTGGGGAAAAACAAGAAAAGCTACATAAAATATGTTAAATAAATTAGATTTCCACAAATATTGTACTATAATAGTTGTGTTGTTTCGTGATCAGATAGAAATTAACAAACACTATATAGGAACAGAATATAGTATAGGTGCGCGACTTGATTATTATTATCTCATCATCGATTTTCCTGGAAGCCTGGCTGGTAAGGTCAGGGAGAGTGCAGTCACGACAACACCAAGTTATCTGTCCACCGTCCTCGCCCCTCATAGTAGCACGATACGTCGCCAGTGATATGCCTATATAATGTTTAAAACATGTTATATGAACATATAATGTATATTTTAATAAATATACAATTATAACGGGACGAATATATGTATGACCATAATAATTATAAGATGTAATTTTTAAAATGTATATTTCAATAAATATACAATTATAACGGGACGTATATATATATGAACATTGATGTATATTTCAATAAATAGACAATTATAACGTAATGATTAATTTGACAATTACTAAATTAAACAACAACAATTATACAACAGTGCCTAGTTTATGTTTCGTCCGATAGGAAAAAAGCTGCAGATTATTGTATTTTTTGAAATATTTGACAAAAATGTGCAAGTCAAGCAGGTCCCTGTGAATCAGGTTGCCATTATTTAGTTATACTTGTCGATTATGACAGATATGGGATATTTGGTACTTTAAACACAGTAATAAAATTCGCAAGTGGGTTTACTGGGAGAAATGGAAAGTCTTTATAATTGAGACCCAATGAGTCATGCACGTGAGAGACGACGTGACTGTACACGTAGTGATAAATGGATGTATACAAACTGTATTGGGGATTATATTATTCACAAGATAAGATTTTACGATAGATATGCATAGGTAAGTTTCGGAATAACCACACAGCATTAACTTTACATGAATAATTTGAACCAAGATATACATTATTAATGTATGTTGCTATAAATACATTGCCGGGGGCAACTGTATACGTGTAGTTCACACATGGGTTGTAAACATTGATTCAAGTTTATAGTGTGATGTGACATTATTGCAATTTTTAGACAATGATGCAGTGAAAATAAATGTATCGGTCGTTGTATATATATAGATTGATCTAGGTCATCAACGACGACATACAATGTACAAATATTTGTTAATAAAAGATTGAGATGAGTAATTTATGGCTGATGAGTTTGTTTGTTTTTCAAGGGATACACTATATATACATTATATTGTACATTTTATTATATTGGTAGAACATGTATATAGTATTCAGCGTGTAGATAATACACATATGCATGTATTCCAAGTTGTAATACATTTATTATATTCTATAGATAAATATAGCCACGTAATTAATTGATGCACATGGTATAAGTTATACATACGTGGTGTATGAGTACATATACATACACGATGCTGCTATAAATAAAAGTACATCTCCAGTTAGAATGCATCAATTGTGTAAATAATAATTTATACTAAAGTCAAGTTACACAATGTGAATGACTTGACAGCATCTGGATGACATACACATGAGTCGGTTAGAATAATACATGTAAACATTACCTGTAACTAGGGCATAAGTTTAATAAGAATATATTCAAAACAGAATACAGTATACATGTATACATAACATTATAGTCTTTCCACATATCAGATAGAATTTTGTTATAATTTTAATAACTTAATGCACTTTAAACACATGGTGCACACATGTACATGTTCATTGCTGCATTTATAGACATGACAATAAGGTTGTTGGCTTTGATTATCTATTTTCACACAAATACTATGAATTCAAAATAAAATAATTAATCTCTGTTTCAGTTAAAGTGTTAATACAAGGCTACCAAGTTTATGTAAATGTACTTATATTGTGTATTATCCAGGTAATCGTCATGAATAATTATAACTGGCATACAAGGAAAAGATAGTGATATTAATAGTGAGTAGAACTTAACAAAGATGGAAAGATATCATTAGGTGGTTATTATATATATACTATATATGTAATACGGAATATATTAAGAATATATATATATACAAAATGTAAGTCACTAGGAAACTGCCGGGGATATGAAGTTTCTTCTGAACCATCATTCCTGAGGTAAGGAGGTGAATGAGTTAGATGTTTGAAGGACGGGTACTGGTTAAAGGAATGTTTAAAGATGTGAAAATACTAGACCACTAACAGCTCCTTCTGTCTCATATACTATATTATATATTTATCAACAGGTAGGTAGTTCGGCACAAGGAAAAGCAGGAAGATAGTAAGGAAAGAACATACTCAGTTATTTGAACATTTGAAAAAAGAAATGAAGGAAGAATGGAAATATTCATTGGTCGAAATCAGTACTTTAATACATTCCATCCCCGCTTTACCCATGTTGCTTCATTGCATAGGGTCAAAATGATAGGCTTCCTTATAAACCTCAAACCAAGGTAAGTTAATCTAAGTAAGAGAACACTCCTTGTAGTTTTCTAATTTTCTATATACAAAAATGAATACCACTGGAAAATAACAGCTGTGAGTAAATCGCGATTATCTCTGATACAAAGGTTCGGATGTAAACTATGTTAACGCCATTCTCTTTTTTTTTTTACTTTTCTACCCAGGATGCAGTACCTGACCGTAAGGAATGTACAAGTTTTCGCTTACTTCGGACAGCTGGTGAAAAATGTCACTGACAGGTAATGTCCGGTCACCAGCAGGTAAAGCCAAGGTCTGAATCTGAAGGTCACGAGATCAGGTGGAAAAAAGCCTTAAAGGCGATATGTTTTGAATACTCACATTCGCATTTATCTATTTACCAAGTTCTTTAAAAGTCGTTTTATAACGTGTTTTGCAAGTTCTCAGTTTGAAGTTGAAGTTTTTTTTAAATGCATAATTTTGATTGGTCGAATAAGGAAGCTAGCAATATAATTAACACATCTGTTTGTCTTCATTTTTCCGTTGTCTTTCTTTCTATGTCAAATAGGAATAAATTACAATAACTTTTTTACACAAATTTTTTTTCTCTTTCATTTGAATTTGGACAGGTACAATAATCCACCGACATTCTGGAAATCACGGCTAACAAATATTCCCCTAATAAGAACAAGCACTAATGATACCATCGTGGCGTCTTTGGAAACCGGAAAAGTACGTTTTCAATACCAAAATGTTATCAAGACAGCATTAAAAACGCCAACGGCGGCTATTGCCAGGAACATTCTAGATAGTTATTCCGAATATCATCAGATACAACGTGTTGTTGATTTTAAAAACCTTTATGATCATCGATTTTGTGTGGTAGAACTAGACGTAGACAGGAAAACAAAGACATTCACAGCAGGTACAGAACTCAGAGTTAGAGTACACCTCTATAATAGTTAAACCAGTCTCTGACTCAGGGAGGCGACTTGCTCAACATCTGGCTAAGAAATACGGACGGAAGGTCGTCTGTGGCTGGTTACGTGGTTTGATCATATGAACGGGACCTACACAGGTCACGTGATGGCGTTTTGGGCGGGAAATGTATGTGTGAAAGTGTCCGTCACCAACACAAAGGAGGGGATCGGTTTATATACAAATTACGTGTATGTTCATGGTTCTTATAAGTTTATAAATGCGACATTCTCAGAGAAGAAGAAAAGTGAAATGACTCAATGTGCGCCAACAACGTCTGATTGGTTGAACAAAACATACGGAGGATTCTGTAATCTAACGCACGAGAATTATAACATCTCTTTATTCTGTGGGAAGCCAACATCTGTTTCATGTAGGAATTGGGTAAAGTACGGCTGGGACGATTCTTTGTATTACGACGAATACACAAGGAAAATACTCAGGTAAAGTAATTCAAAATTTGATATAGATGCTTGCTATCTATAGACGGTCAATATGTCAGTCATAGGTTAGTAGATTGCAAGTTAAGCTTTTTATGTAAGATTTTGTTCCTGTTCAGGTATAAGGACCTGATATTGAAGCAAATCAACGTGACTATTGTTCCAAGTAAGTGTTTATCACTGATCACATATATTGCATATTTGGATTGTTCCTTTTTTCTGTTTGGATAAATATAGCAAACACACATTTTTCAATGTTCAACTCATTTTTGTCTTTAAATAAGCTGCCAGATTAACTGAGTATGTTATAAGCAATTTATAAAAAAAATCCATTATATTCTGGAATTGTTCGAAGCCATTAAACTGTTTACTGACAGAATAATTATTCTCTTTTATTCTTTCAAATTTGCAGATTACAAAACGTGATTCATGTACACATACAATTATTAGTATAATTGTACAAAAGAGAAGAAATTTGGTAGAATACATGATTGATTTACGGGAAAGGTATATGGGAAATTCTGAATATGTATTGTTTACAGATATATTTACAGCTATTGATTACATACAACACCGACTAACAATTGTTAATTAGATTACAAAAATAAGGCGGATAGCTTTATATACAAGGAAATAGCATGCTATTGATAATAAGAAGAGAAGAATATTGTATAATAATAATAATACTTATTGCTTTTTACTTGTTTCCAGTACTATGGTCACTATATATATTGTACATACACTGTATAATTAGGATATTTTGATGTCAGTTCTTAAATATGTGTGGTGTTAAACAGCCATAGATAAGAATAATTCTGGCTTTCAACATAGTCTCCTGTTCCTGAAGGACAGATGTTTTAGCTAATGCTTTCCACTAAATTTATCAAATAAGATATATGTTTAAATTAAAACCTTATCATAAAATACGTGACCAGTCGAAATAGATGGGGCGAGCCAATTGGGATTGATTTTGGTAACCAAGTTGCTCTTGGCGCTAAAATTAATTTGGTTGCCATGGCAGCCCCGGCCGATTCCCTCATCTTTTTATCAGATAGAGGAAACCTAACTGGTCAATCGCCTGAAGATTAGAGAGGTGAATCCAACTACTGTATTGTGTAT